GGGAAGGCAGGAAGGCCTTTGGCCTGAATCTGTTGAAAATGCTTTTGTTATAGTCCTGACTATGCCTTAGATGTTCGCCAATGTGAACAACAACATCTGTTTGAGGTTTTTGTTTTTTTAAGAACACCAATGCATACCTCCAGGATCTTGCATTGGAGCAAAGAAATGCTGAGAAGTACTGTACCTGTAATATCCTGACCAGATTGCCATGTAACTTTACAATATGTTATAGGCATATTACAAAAAGACCCTCCTGAGTATTTTGGACTGTTTGTGGAAGAATCTTTATCTTTAGCCAAAAAGGCAATATTTAGATTGTAGGTTGGCAGGGCCTTTGTTCCACAATGACAGTATACTGGTGCCTCTCCGGCTTCAGGGAATCCATCTGTCTCTCTCCCCCTTTCTTTCTTTTTGGCCGTACTTTCCTATTCTGTTTTTAATAACTCTTTAATCCTTTGCGGTCTTTTTTTAACATAAGAAGTACATAGAACACAGAGCTGCATGTCTAAGTTGATTTTCCTTTTTTTACTTGTGGTCCATTGAGAACTAACATCCACTCTGTGATGTTCTACAGATTCACAAGTGTAATTTACTTTCTGTCTGGAGGACTGCTGGGTAGTTTATAAGGTTTCACCCTAAATTCCTCATCCTGGTTATGGTGATAGGCTTTTAGTCCAGATTTTAATGATCAAATGTCTCTCTCACACATCTCATTAAAAAAAAAAGCTGGAGAGATCAGTGGTTTAGGAATCTGGCTTCAAAGTCAAAGGTTGTGAGTCTGATTCCCCACTGTGCCTCCTTGACAAGGGCTGGGCTCAGTGATCGATACGATCCCTTCCAGCTCTGAAATTCTAAGGTTATCATATAATTTAGCAGCTTAATTGTGGCTAAAAAGGGAATAACCTTATATATATCTGTACCATCTCTCTGTATCCTGGTCTAGGAAGTGCTAACAGAACACTTTAAATGATTTCAGAATTGTATAATGTTACATATGGCAAAAGCTGGTGGGCATTTTTCTTAATTGAGCAATATATTCATTTAATTATACTGTAAATTGACTCACAACCTAAGCTATCTGATTCAGTGCAATCAACAAGGTAACATTTGTAGCAGTCTCAGATGCTAATGACTTGAAGAGTAGGTAGCTCTGACAGTTGCCATCTTGGAGCATTTCCTACATTATTTATCAACAAAGTCGTCCCCTTGTTGTTACATGCCATCAAAACCGACTTAGGGTAACTCTAAAAGGCTTTCAGGGTAAGTGACATATGTAAGGACTGGCTTTACCAGTTTCACTCCCCCAGTGAATTTCCATGGCTGAATGAAGATTCAAACCCTGGTCTCCAGAAAGTATGTGTATTAAAAGAGTGGTTTTTGACATTGCTACCCCAGTGAGATCCATGGCCAAGTAAGGATTTAAACCCAGGTCTCCTGAGCCCTAGTCATCAATCAATATGCTTTACCATACTAACTCTCACATCAATGTGTACCTCTGTAACCCCTTTTTCTTCTCTTCTGAAAAGCCTGAATGTCACTCAGATAGATTTGTTTTTGTATGTCTAGATTTCTTTACACACACAAAACTTTGATACAAAAACTTCGGCTCAGAAATATTTTCCTAACTAAGCAGAACAAAGCAACCAAATAAATAAATGAAGAGACAGTAGCAAAATGTATTTTAATTAAATTTAGCATTTTTTTCTGCCCAGGAAAAATAGTCTGTTTTTGGTATGGGAGCCAGGGCAGGCTAATCTGTTTTGCTGCTGAGACACACACAAGTTGGCTGCCGCCCTCAGTTCTGTGTACAGAAGCTGACCAGATTGGCAGTTGAGCCATTTGTCTATACTGCCTGGCGTCCTCTACCTGAGCTGAAGGCGGCCACCCTATGTTTAGGGGCACATACCTGTTTTCCAGCATATTGCTGGTATTCCTCAACCCCCAGGATTGTCTAACCCATGTTCCTTGAAGCCCTGTGGGAGAAAAGGAGGCCTTCTTGTATGAGGAAGATGGGAACAATGGAGCCTGTTACTGGGATCTGTGAAAACATTTCAGAGAAGGGAATCATTCTGAAAAAATATTTTTATTAAGAAGCTGCTTTAAAAAAAATTCATTGGAGAGGTGTTTTTAAAAAAGGTATTGTTTCCTTAGAATAGTTAACTTTCAGCTCACTTTGGAACAAAAAACCCAGTCTCACATGTTAAGAATTCAGAAGCATATGGTATGAATATCCTGCACATTTACCTGTATTTCCTGACACACCTTGAACATATCAGAGAAAAATGTTTTTCTCTGATGTAAACAGGTGATTAATGTAGTTAGACTTGGGTCAGTTCTCAAAACTTCAGTATTCTGCATGAGCTGAAATACGAGCTGTGGGACAAACTAACGCTAATAGAGCAAGACTGTGGCTGGATTTTCCAGTACCTTTTTATGTTTCCAAAAAACATGGAGCAAAGAAGCGCGGGCTGGGTTCACACTGGGAGGAGAGTAGAGTTTAATCTTATAACATTTCTCTAATGCAGCAGAAGTCACAGAGTCTGATGTAGGAGAAGTCATGCTTTTTTTCCTCCGGTCTAATACCAGGTCTAGGAGAATAGAGAATTTCTATGGGGCACTCAGTCCAGAAAGAAAGGGTTAATTTCCTTTTCTTCCTGCGCAACAGCCCCCATATAAATGGAGTGGGAATAACAACTTTGAAAGATGCAGTCCCTGAAAATTCCCTGCTTTGTGTGTAGCTTGGCCCGCTGGAAGTTGCTGTTTTCTCATGGGTTGTAACACTGCCAACCTAACAGGCACAGAGTCCCTCACTGCTACCTTTCTCTACTGCCAAGCAGATGCACCTGTTTCTGCATCACAGATTTTCACAATAAAATGGCAACTCTAGCCGCCTAGAGTGGTCCTGACCCGACCAGATAGGTGGGATATAAATAAAATAAATAAATAAATAATAAATAAATTGTTGTGCAGCCCAGACATCCTTTTTTTCAAATTTAAATCTGCTGTTTAATTTGAAGATAAGGCGGCAGGTGTAACATCTGTCTGTACCACGTGGCAAATAGTGTGAGGTGGATACAGCAGTCAAGGAAATAATGAGGAGGAATAAATGTTGCTCCTTCTCTTGTTGCAGTTGAAGAATTTATAGTTATACCCACTTTCTTCAGTTTGCGACCTGTCAGCCCTAGTTGAACGGGCAGGCATTTAAATGGATACAAGGCTTTCTGGTGATATATCAGGAAAAATGCAGTGTATCCAAGTCTGGGCTTGAATGCATAGTGAAGCATTCAGTGACCTTAGCAAGGCTCAACTCACATCTCCTCTCTGGACTCAACAATACCTGAAAGTTAAGGCCCTGCTTTTAGTCTGGGACTCTTTATCTGCCTCCTGTGCAGTGTCCATAGCTCTATTTGTTGTCATGTGCTGTCAAGTTGCCTCTGATTTATGGTGATCCTATGAATGGCTGATCTCCAAAATGTCCTGTCCTCAACTGCCCTGCTCAGCTCTTGTAAGCTTAAGCCTGTGGTTCCTCAGACAGTTAGTCCATCTCGTATTTGGTCATCTTCTTTTCCTGATGCCTTTCCCAGCATTATGGGTTTTTTTCCTCCCAGAGAATTCTGCCTTCCTGTGATGTGCCCAAAGTAGGACAGCTTCAGTCTCAACACTTTTACTTCCAGAGATAGTTCAGGCTTGATTCAATCTAGGGGCCCCCCTAGAGTGAACATGTAATTAATTATCACATTTGTTTTATTCCACACTGAACAAATTAACTTGTGCTTCTTGGGAGAAACTGTTCCATCTTGCTTTTCTGTACAACCTGAAGTGACAGAAACCAGAGCTTGCAGGGATAAATAACTTTTATTTTGAATTTTACAGAGGTAATTACTGTAAACTAGAAGGCTTTAAAAGTTCTGATTTTCAAATTTATTCAACCAGATTCTTGGACTAGTTATTATTACAACAGATAGTACCACATGAAAGACAGGCTGTTTGGAATCTGGCATATGACGTTTTTATTAGTTCAGAGAATAGTGCCTTATCATACTGGTTCCCTTATAGTCCATTGCTATAGTGAGATCTACTAAGCTCATGGGCTTATCCCCAAATCCTATGATTCAGCCTCAGACTGATATTCAATACTCACCTCGATGTATGCCATACTGGCTTCAACAGGACTTACTTTTTGGGTAGACAGAAGTAGACATTTTCACCTTTTAGGAATTAGACTATTGAAATTATTTCACAAACCTAGGATCTCTATCCAATCTGCTACACCTTCTTATTAATTTTAATTCCATGCTATACTTTCTAGACCAGGGATAGGCAAACTGTATATCCACAGATATTGTTAAACTATAATTACCAGAATCCCTCATCACTGGCTGTGCTGACAAGGGCTGATGGGAGTTGTAATCCAACAACATCTTGATGATTCTGTTCTCTGGGATTGAGATAAAAGGGACAGAGTAGTCTCATTGGGAAGAAAGCACACCAAAAGATGATGCAGACCAACAGGGTGGTGGTGGTTGGTTCACAGATTAGATAATGGTGTGACAGCAGAACGGAGGCCAGTGAAGTTACTCCATGCCTTGTTTGCTCAAACATGAAATGTTCTTGCTTAGATGAGAATTTGAGGCAAATTCTCCAGTCTGTCTTTATTAGAATAGATTTTATAAAGGTGTCTCCAAAATTTTAAAATGATGCTCTTCCAATTTGGTCTGAAACACATTTACAATGAAGTAGCTGAACAGAACCTTTACTTGAATTAACAGTACACCTTCAAACTCTTGAAATGGAACCAGGTTGTGAAATTATGCTTTGATTGTTATTAGGCCTCAGATTTCCTTCACACTGTGAGAAAGAAGCCACGCCTTCTTCGCTCCACGCAAGAAGTCTTATATAAACCTATTCCATCCCTTTTGGGTCGGAAGAAGGATGCCTTGCTATCATACAAGGTTGCACAAAACTCTCATGTGTGACTAATTATGGGAGATATGGCCTTGCTATCATACAAGGTTGCACAAAACTCTTGTGTGACTTATTATGGCCACGAAGGATGTAAACATGCTCCTTACATTATGGAAAGGGGTTCGAAGGCTATGTGTGTGGCATGCACTGAGTAAATATGCCAGTTCTGAAGATACTGCAGCAAATTCTCGACAGTTAAAAGTAAAAATACAGTGCAGACAATACCCAGCTTCCATGTGTTGCTGTCAAGAGCTCAACAGTTACATTTTGCATTTGATTGGGTTTTTTTCAATAAGGTTGAATACGGTTAAAGGCATCTGAATTTTCACTTCCTTACAAATGATTTATTTGGTGGCCACCATGTCACCACTTGATAATAATGATCTTGGGGGCTTGGGATAATAACCAGCCGTTATTGAGCTACTAGAAGAAAATCTTGTGAATTGATAATCCAGCGGTAAATCTGAAAGAAACAAACATACCATGACTTGATTAGGTATGCAGCTCATATCAAATCTAAACAAAACCAGTGAGCTAGGAAGAGTGCCATTAGTTCTGTTTCAGCTCTTTACAGTATCTGTGTGCTTATTATTGTAAGAATTTAATCAGATCACATGATTATATATTTGGCATACAAAGTTTATACGCCTCAGCATGATACTGATAATTTAGTTTATTCTATTAAGAACACCAAATGTTATTTAAAATCTTACAAAAGTAATACAGTATTGCTTTACCCATATATTATATGTTGCACAGTTAAGTATAGTATTCACTACTGCTTAGGAATAATAAAAAGACTTTCCTAGAATACCAAATCAAAGAAAGCATTCTACTTTTACTCAGTTTGAAGGAAAAGGAGCAATATTTTGCTACTTGCAACCCTACATGGTCTTCTTTCCTTCTTCTTTCTTGCAATACAGTGGTGCCTCACTTAGCGATGTTAATCCGTGCAGCAAAAATCACTACTATGCGATCTCATCGCTAAGCGATTTTTAAAAGCCCATAGAAACGTATTAAAACGCGTTTAATGCGTTCCTATGGGCTTAAAAACTCACCTTATGGGAAAATCCTCCATGGGGCGGCCATTTTCGGTGCCTCTAAAGTGAGGCAAAACAGCGGGCGGCCATTTTGGAACCGCTGATCAGCTGTGCGAAAATGGGGCCTTTGGGATGACCGAGGGGGAGCGCTCCCCCACAATCATCCCAAAGGCCTCGCCGATCAGCTGTGTGAAAATAGGGCCTTTGGGATGATCGCGGGGGAGTGCTCCCCCACCCTCCGCCCCCGCCCCCCCGCCGATCAGCTGTCCGAAAATGGGGCCTGTTTTGCACAGCTGATCGGGGGGGCCTTTGGGATGAAAATGGAGCCATTTTCGCACAGCTGATCGGTGGGGCCTTTGCGATGATTGCAGGGGAGCGCTCCCCCGCGATCATTGCAAAGCAAATTTTCCCCATAGGGGCCATCACAAAGTGATCGCTCTTGCAATGGCAAAAAGTCCATTGCAAAGTGATTTCGTCGTAAAACGGAGCGATCGCTATGTGAGGCACCACTGTAATATGAAGCAGCCACACTGTGAAGTGTACAAAACTCCGATGATCTTGCTGCACAAACTGACATAGCTACTCATCCAGCAATGGCAAAAATGTGAGCAAAGAAACGGAGAGATTTCATTGTAAAGTCTGTTGACACCATGACACTTCTAAACCATTTTTATAACATGTCTTTTATAAAGGGCCTGAAACAGGATCAGTGGGTAACTATTAGTAAATAACATAGGGGCAGATTTTTAATTGGGACTGCATATGCACAGAATTCCAACTGTATACCTGAAGGCATACAGATGCAGCAAGAAATTCTTTTTCACCTAAATAAAGATAAGCCTGGACTTGCTTTCTTGCATATCACAGCTAATGGCATCAAAGAATGCAGTTTCCACTGATTCAAAGCCAACACTTACTGACTTTGAGGAATATAAATCCTTTGCTGAATTCCAGGCTGTGAGCTGGAGGCAGTCAGCCTATGGCAAGGGTCAACCTCGACAACCTTCCACAACTCCTTCAAGTGTTTGCCAACCAGGAGGGTATTTCTGGCAACCCTTATTGGGGCACTACCCAGGAGAGGATGAGCCCTTGGCAGGGGTTACTACAGTGGCTGCACAGATCCCAGGAGTCTCTAAAGGTGGGAAAGACGGAAAACTTTCAGGAGGGGAAGGGCGGCAGTATAAAAGGGGAATAAGTGATCCACAAGAGGGAGGAGAATGAAGTGGAAGAGAGGAAGAAAGAGGTATGGGCTGATGCTTGGGAGTGCTCAGTTTGCAAAAAGGGGCCTTGACTTCTAGAGGTCATATCTATTAGGTTTATATTGGACACATACAAAAAACCCAAAAAGAAATGCAAGCACCAGTAAACCCACTATAGCTGATTCAGAAGACTTTTGGATCAGCCAGTCCTTAAGCCCCCAGTGGGGAGGACTAGGTCCACACCAAAGGAGCCTTGCCCTGCCCTGACTGGATGTGGGAGCCAAATACAGACAGATAGTAACTGCTGATCCTACATCAGGATTGCTCTACTTGGACTGGCAGGAAAGCTGTTGCTGCTTCATGGGCAATCCTCATGTACACAATTTCAGAAACTTCCTTTAAAAAAACTTTTATCATATTTAAACAAATGCATTTTTCAAGCAAAGCATCAAAGTAAAGCTGTTGGTTTTAACTAGGCCGTGATTCTCCACTGCCAAAAGTAAAACAAACAGAGGAGTTAAGTGCAGTTTATGTACACTACACACACCCTGACCTACCAATAAGGTCAAAACAATAGTAGGAGGAAGCTGATGCTCTGATTCAAATGGATAAGCGCGATGCACTTGGCAAGATTGTGAAATATTTTGGTTCCTCTGACAAAAACATATAGCAAATTGCAGACAAGAGCTTGGGAAAAAAGATAGTAACTGAAGACAGAGGAACAATAACTTTCAAGAGGTATGCACAGTAAGAATTGCAACAGGCTGCATGAATAGATAGCAGAAAACAGAATAATTCTTTTTCTTTCCTGACAGCTTATTGTCACAGAAACAATATTGAACAACTGTATATATTTACCTAGTCATTTCTTTTGTTAATATTTTAAAAATATTATTTCTTCTTGGATGTACATTTGTATTTCTTTAAGGGGAGGGAACTAACTCAGGCCTATTTCTGCTTCCTATATTCTATTCCCATTAGTTGATCTTCCACACGGTGTGGATTTCGAGCTAATAGATCCACAATTGACATGGTATTTTCCCTCAGACAGTTGCAGGAGAAATGTAGGGAACAACAGCCGCTCTTTGTGGCCTTCATAGATCTCACAAAGGCCCTTGATTTGGTTAGCAGGGACGGCCTTTTTAAAATACTTCCCAAGATTGGATGTCCACCTCGACTTCTTAACATAATCAGGTCTTTTCATGAGGGAATGAATGACGCAGTAGTTTTTGATGGCTCAACATCAGATCCCTTTGATATCTGAAGTGGAGTGAAACAGGGCTGTGTCCTTGCGCCAATCCTCTTTAGGATCTGTTTTGCTGTCATGCTGAAGCACGTCTTTGGAACTGCAACAGGAGGTATCTATCTTCAGACTAGATCAGATGGAAAGATCTTTAAGCTCTCTAGATTGAGAGTGAAGACCAAAGTCCAGATGAAATGCATAAAACACTTCCTCTTCACCAATGATGCAGCTGTTGTCGTCCATTCTGCTGAAGACTTCCAACTCATGAATAGTTTTAGGAAGGCCTGCAAAGACTTTGGATTAACAATCAGCCTGAAGTCATGGGCCACGGTGTGAACTCACCTCCCTCTATTACCCACACAAGAATTGGAGGTTGTTCATGACTTTATGTACCTTGGCTCAATGATCTCTGACACTCTCTCCCTAGATGTTGAGCTGGATAAACGCATTGGAAAAGCAGCTACCATGTTCTCTAGATTCACAAAGAGAGTATGGCCTAACAAGAAGCTGACAGCATATACCAAGATCCAGGTCTATAGAGTCTGTGTCGTGAGCACACTCCTGTATTGCAGTGAGACTTGGACCCTTTGTGCACGGCAGGAGAGGAAGCTGAACATGTTCCATATGTGTTGTCTCCAACGCATTTTGTATCACCTGGCAGGATAAAGTTCCGAATAGAGTAGTCCTAGAACGAGCTGGATTTTTTAGCATGTATACATTACTGAAAAAGTGACATCTATGTTGGTTTGGGCATTTTGTGTGAATGGCTGATGGGCAGATTCCTAAAGATGGAGAATTAGTGCCACAGAGGGAGACCACAGCTGTGATACAAGGATATCTGAAAGTGGGATCTGAGGGCCTTAGGAATGGACCTCAACAGATGGGAACCTTGACATCTGAGCGTTCAGCCTGGAGGCAGGTGGTGCATCATGGCCTCTCCCATCTTGAAGAGACACTTGTCCAGCAGGCCGAGCCAAAGAGGCAGTCCCGAACCAAGCAAAATCATGGAGCTGGACAGGGGACAGATTGTATTTGTCTTCAGTTGTCACTCTCGAATTGGCCTTCTCAGTCACACTAGATGTTGTTCCAAGTCCTCCATTCAGAGCACGTTACCACTGTCTCTTGAGATTGAAGGATGCCTAATCGAAAGTTGATCTTCCACTTTTTTCCCAGAATAAGGGCATGTAGCACATTGCATGCTGACCGTGAGAACCGAGAAGAAATATTTTAGTCCTGCTGGCTATCACGTATCCAAAATTTTGTTGTAATATGGGAGACACTTGATCTGCTTTTTGAAAGACCAAATGCTAAAGTCCACTGCTGAAAAAATACAGAGATTAGATCCACAGGTTTTTCATATCTTGCTTTGGATCATAAAGAAGCCAGGGCTGCATGCCTAATCTCACAAAGTGTTTGCTGCACTTAAGGATGTATTGTTCCTGAATATAGGCTAACAATGTGAGGACTGGAAAAAGCCAATCCAGAAGTTAATTCCACATTGGGGCACTGTATACTGTACTTCTTTAATGACATCGAAAAGACTTATCAACCATTCTTCAGATGTGGTCTTCATAACAGTTTGCAAATATATATATTTTAAATTACAAAAATCAAAATTAAACAATGACAGTGGAGTGCCAAGTGCTGACAGCAGAAAATGACGACTTGGGAAGATCATTTATTCTTAAATAACACAATAAATAATTGAAACTGTAATCAATTATCTTAATCTTTTCTTCATTTCTTTCAAGTTTATCTTGAAATAAATAAAAATTGAGGGGGAAGGGAGGATTTGGACAAAATTAAAAAGGGTTATCTGGTGCCCCAAATAAAAGATGGCCCTAAGTAAGGAAGGGGGTTCCATAAGCATCGTGCTGCAAGTGAAAATGAGCCAGTTCCTGGTTCCCAAACACATCCATTCAGATTCTTACTGATTTAGGGTTCTTGGCATTTTAGTCTCCACCAAGCAAACAGAATTTGT